GGCTGCTCCAGATCGTGACATCATCTCCCGCTGCCCTGGAGTCACAATTGGGGTCAAAGGCGGGACAGCTTGTGACCCCGAAACAAATTCCATTAAAAATATCAGATTCGATCATCTTGTTAATTAAACCACAGCGAAATAAAAATAAGGCTTTTAGGGATCTGGAGGGTTTTCATTAAGATTGGCTTGTCAAATATAAATATCAAATATAAGACAAATATACAAAGATAAGTACTTAGAATAGTTTACTACATAATTTAAAAAAAGTAATAATATATGCCTGACAAATATATTGGATATAATAGTTTTGAAATTTTTAAAATATTGTTTTTAGTTCTAGATCCTAAAATTTGGTATGGAAATTCTAGAATTGCATACTAGTTTACGTATGCATATGCTAATCTTTCTTCCTGATCAAAGCAAATAAAATATGTGAAAATTAAACAACAAAGCAGCACCATTGCTTGCCTACCTCTAAACAACTTTGGTTAAGTGGAGCATATCCCCACATTCTTGTGCACCATATATATATCCACATATATACCCCGACAAACTTCACGTCCGAGGCTCAATATTCGTGCTGAATGAACAGCCCTGGCCGGGCAGAGTTTTTGATTTTAATTTAGATAAAGTGCGCTATGGAAATCAGTTTCGCCGTAGCTTTCCCTGTTTATCCGGGCTCAAATCGGGCCCAGACAACTAAACACTCCATAAATACAACAACGCGGGGCGGGACAAATCGGGAGGTGAGCTCAAGGTAAGCTGTAAATTGCACGCTTTCATGTAGATAATTAATCACCGCGAGCATTCGGTTCAGGTGCTCCTGTTTTGCGGATTGCGAAACTCTTCCACCTGCCATTGAAGATTTCGTTTTGCGGCGAATGTAAATGCAGTTTCATGCAAATTTATTCCTGATCTTATCCGTATAATTTTAACTTCACAATACAAAAGCTGGTGGATTGTGTTGTCCGAGATTTATTGGTGGCGCCATTTTCGGAGGCATTCGCGGAAGTCAAATCAATTATACGCCCTGTTGGGCACTCGACGCAGGAAAGGAAATTGGAATTATTTGATATAAGTTGATGCAATTAAGCATTTGGCTAAACTCGATGAGGGATTAGGGATTAAATGGCATACAACATAGTTTAAGTGCATAATTATATAAATATGTCGGTTGCTATGATGGAAAAATAATATTTCGGTTGCCTTTAATACATTTACTTTGATGGATTACGGTTGGATTTACAACTCCTTCCACATTGGCAATTTTGTTTGTTATGTAAAACTACTAGGAAATCTACTTCGTGTACCAAATCAAATGGAATTCCCATTGATTTGGAATAAAATAAATTTCTCAAGTAAAGTAAACACATTTATAAAGTATACACTTGCACATATTTCCGTATTTCTAGTCCCTGGCCAGTGCTGAGAAACAATCAACCCCAAACGATGGGGATAAAAGTACTCTGAATTCAATAGTCGTAGCAGCTGGTACTTGGATTGGGAAACTTTGGACCTCCACGTGCATTTCAGAGAGCGTTTGCCATTGCAAATGGGAAAATATTTAAATGTAACTCAATTTCGAACGCAATATGCGCTTGGGAACCACTTCGTATCCTTCTGTCGTAATACAGGATAGTTTGATTTGATTTATTTATAAGTTCAATTTGTTCGCATTATTTTTTGCAATATTAAGCTTTGATGCGGATGCAGTCGATGGCGACTGGAGTCCATCGGGGAATGCAAACGAAAATCAATTCAATTTGCCAGTTGGCAAATGCAAAGCGAATGCCAAATGAAGATGACTAATATTCGTGACGATGAGTGGATGAATCCCAGGCATCCGACCTCTGAGAGGAAAAACTGAAACAAGGCCATGGCTCTTCCACACATCGCAAAAAGTTGTGTCCTTTGCATTAACAACCTCAAGTTCTCCTTGTCGAGCGGGAAAACCTGCAGGAAAAATGCAAGCAGACGAACAATTGCCGGGGAAAATACGAAAGAAGGACTTTTTTTGTGAGCTGTTTCTTCAGTTGCTGCACATAATTACATGAAAAGAAAATTAGTGTCGAGATTCGCCTTGAGCGCCTCTCCAGGTGAAAACTTTTAATGAGCAATTTTCCCACAAATTCCCAAGTGTTGCCGCATTTAATTTTTTAATGAAAGAATTTCTTTCAGCCGCAGTACTAAAAAGAGAAAGGAAAGAGTGTGGGAAAATCTGGCGGCAAAGATTTCCACTTCGACCACTTTTCCTTTGAGTTCTTCAATCAGTTTCGGCTTCATTTAGGACCGGCATATTTCTTTATCCTTTGGCCTGGCTTTTTGGAGTGCGTAATTGGGGGAGTGAATGGGTGGTGGTTGATGGGCGATCTAGGTGTTTGTTTTTATTTATCGGCAGCCTGGAGAGAGAGAGAGCCCTGACCCATGTTAATGGCCGATTGACACGCCACTTGGCCTTGATGGGGCTTTTAGCCCGGTCCGCACTTGACTGCTGCTGCTCCCCAAAAAAACCAAAAAACAGACGAAGCGCCTCTGCTGCCCCATACTTTCCCAGGATTAATGGTGGGGGAAAGTGCTCGACGGGGGGATTCCCACACTCGTAGAACGAGGTGCTAAGCGAGCGTGCTGATTGCTGCCATTTTTGATAAGGAGCCGGCATTAATATTTCCCTTGCGTTGGTACCCACCGTTTTGTCCAGTCCTCTGATTATGGCTGTGACTCCAATGGCTCATTAACACCTCTAACTTCACACCTAGTATTGAAGATAAGTGGTACACAAATGGTTCATAAACTAGGGTTCTTAACAGGAATGCCAAAAAATCTGTTGAACTAAGATGATATTATATAAGACTAATAAAATACTTATATATAACAAGTTTTTATATTTTTTTACCATTTTGTCTTTAATGCCAGATCTTTTGATCTATAAATCAGATCAGAACTCAAATATATTTTCGAAAAACTACCAGCCAAATTAGAATTTCTCCTAACCCAGAGCTCAGCTAAATCAAAGAAACTATCCGAAGATGGCCGACTACACCGACCTGTTCAGGTGCCACAAGGCAGTGATAATCTTAACCGAGGAGGACGCACCCTGCTAGAAGGATGATTCCATCTGGTGAAGATGGTTTTCACATAAATAGGCAAATAAAAGAGCCATTTGGTGTGTTTCCATATTCATAAATCTGCTGGCCGGTGTAGTGCGACTAGCCACACGTCTATAAATCGACATTTCCCAGAACCAAGTGACTTGTGGGTGGCTACAAGCCAAGTCGAAATCCGATTCGGAAGGCTTCCCTCCGACTAAATCAAGTGTCTGTTCGGTGTCAGTTTAATTGCAAACGTAAATTGGATGCTGTCATTTGCTACGTTTTCATTTGTTCGAAAGTTGCCCAGCCCTCCTGCTTTCTCTCTCTGAATGAATCTGTGCAGCACCCCTGGCAGTTTCCATTGACTTTTGCTGCCATCCGTTCTGACGGACATTTCTGCCAGCTGCTCCAGAATCTAGCAACTCGAATCTGCCCAGAATGCAAACGTTGCACAAATCCCAGTTTTGTTAATTGGACTCATTTTGGTAGCTGGCAGCTTGTGTATTTTAAATTGGCATTTGTGACAGGCCACTGTAAAAGTCGGACGTTTTTATTCAACATATGTATGTACATGGTTTTCAGTCCTATTCGACTTCTACTTTGGATTGTGGCTCGTTCTGGTCCTTCTTTTCCCTCAAATTGACGGCTTCGAGGATATTCTTCTTAAGGATGTCCCAGTCGTAGATCATGTCGTTGATGAACCTGTTCTCGTTCATCAGTTTCATGAAGGAGAACCGAATGTTCTCATAGTACGGCTCCTCATCGAAGGCCAAATCCCGGCTGTAGGCGACAAAGTGGTAGAACTGAGCCGGGTAGCCTTCGCACAAGTCCTCCGCTTTGGTAGACAGCTTCATCTCGGTGATCATCTCGTACTTCTGCTGCTTACTGGTGGCCACGAGTCCCTGCCAGGGCAGACTGCCCCTGAGGAAGTACATGAGGACATAGCCCAGGGACTCGATATCGTCCCGCCGTGACTGCCTGCCTCCACGCAAGGCGTTTATGGAGGCGTAGCGAGCGGTACCGGTGAGTCGGGTGCCCGACTTGGGCTGCACATGCTTGTCCTCCACCGTGTCCCAGTACTTGATGGCCAGACCAAAGTCGATGAGGTAGAGACGGTGACTGGTCGCACCGCGTCCCATCACAAAGTTCTCCGGCTTGATGTCGCGGTGCAGGTAGCGATGCGAGTGCACGAACTCCAGGCGCTCCAGCATCTGCACCGCCAGCATGAGCACCGTCTTCAGGGAGAAGCGGCGCTGGCACAGGTTGAACATCTCCTCCAGCGAGGACCCCAGTAGCTCCATCACCATCACGTTGTACAGATTCGTAGTGCGGTAGTGGTATACCTGCGGGATTCCCACTCCAAGGCTCAGGTTTTTGTACAGATAGTACTCGAAAAGCAACTGCGGATTGGTGACATCGCGGCGCTCCAGCTTGAGGGCCACTATGAATCCCGACCTCAAGTTAGTGGCCTTAAAGATGTCACCAAACGATCCTGAGCCCATCTTCCTCCCCAGATCGTAGTCTATAGTTATTTCCTCCAAATCCATGCTTTTTTCCAAACTAATTAGAACAGTCTTATTTCTTAACTTTTCTTCAAGCCCAGAGTTGCAGCGGCTGCTGTTATCGATAGATTTCCTTACGACTTTGTGCTGCTACGTAATGAAGCTTTGGGGTATTCATGCAAGAAAGTTTAAAACAAATAGAAATACGGGTTTCGATAATTGGATTCAAAATACTATTTATAAGTTTAAGATTGCATGTAGTAACAATTGAGGTTGGATATTTTTATAAGAATATAAATATATTTTTAAATACCAATGAAAAACAAAATGCTTTCGTTTTATGAGCCGACCGCTGCTGTAAATCTGAGAAATCGTTGTCAAACTCTGTTTTAACTTGACATAACAAATTTTGTAATAAAAAATATTTCACAAAATAAATTTTTTTAAAATGTCTGCGGCAAAAAACAAGGGCCTAAGCAAGACCCAGGAGTTTAAATTAATGCGTTCCGAGTACGAGCTTAGAGTAAACCAATTGGAAAGAGATGTTTACGAATGCTGTCGAATTTTGAATAAAGCCCGGAAAACTGAAGAATTAAATAAAAAATGGTCATCAGCAAAAAACGGTTGTGAAAAGGAAAAGATTGTATCCTGGGAGTTCGATATGCTAGATTTCCCAGTGGAGAACATTGCAATCTGGCATAAGGATAAGCTCGTGTATCTTCGAGCATTTAAAAAAAATTTGGATATGAAACAAGAAATATTATTGCCCCAAAATGTGGATAAGTCCAAAATCACGGCAATTTTTACAGCTCCCGGGACTTTAACCATTTCTGTTCCAATAATTACCGCTATCAGATGATCAGATGCATACTTTTTGAACTAATCAAATAGATTTGTTATCATTGCTTTTGTTTGTTCTAGCCATTTATTATTTTGTTATTATGTTGATACCGTAGAATTTATATTTTAATAAATAATAGTGAAAACTACCCGCAGTCCAGTTTAATTCCAACCGAAGTAAATACCATTCATCAGAAAGGGTTCTGTGGCTTATTACCGGGTGTCCAGCAGACAACAGATTCCGGTCTACGGAATAGATTTGGATTTAGGTTGGGACTAGACTGGCACATGGCTTCGGGAACGCAGGGAAATATCATAATGTGTGGTGTGGGTCGAAGAAAAGGCACTTGGGACTCCATTTGCCGATCGGCTCTGAAGCTTTGCAATAGCTCTCGTTTCAGTTCCTCCACAATGCTTCTCCGGCAGTAGGAATCCTTATCCCAGCTGTCTGTTAACTTCGGGCAACTAAGATTCCCTCGAACACTGGTTTCTTTAATATCCTGACTTGGCATAGCCGTGAAATTGTTGGCATATTCACTCTGGGGCTCACATGAGCTTGTTGGAATGGGTTCAGGATAGGAAACCAACTGCATGTTTTTTGGGCCTTGGGTAAAATTTCTGGATCCACTGGAGCATTTACTTAAGGAGGATTCTGAACTTTTACATTGGACTTTGAGTGCAGATTCCTGTATTTGAAGCGGTTTTGAAAAAGATGTTTGGATCGGGACTTGGGGAATGGTTTTGGGCCTTTGGCTTGGCCAACTATTAGTTTTTCTCGGGCTGACTTCAATTTTTCTTTTTTCATCAAATTGAAAATTGTGACTTTGGGATCTGTGGCATTCACTTTGATGGGTATTCTGCATTCCCGATTTTTCGCATGAGCAATCCGATTGAGTACTTCTGCCTGAACCGCTTATCAAACTATTATAACTATTTGTTTTCAAGATTACCTTTTTGGGGGCTGACCTTTCGAAGTTGTTATTTACACCTTTTAAGCTCGACCTCTTGTTTATATCGCTTTGAATTAAAGTCGGTGGTCTGGAACACATTTCAATTGTGTTTGTTTGGAACAATCCAGGTCGGGTAAGTCTTGAAAAATTGTTTTCTAACCTATCGGGGGTCCAGCTGTTGCAGAATTCTTTTTGCGAGTTACAAGACTTCGATTGGCGGGTCAAGCTCCATTTGGTGCTGATCGGATGGCGGGGACGAAGGTTCTCTGATGGTCTACCACTGGTCACAGTTGGAGGCTTCGAACACTCTTCAATGCTCTTCCTATTGGTGAAATCCTCAGATCTTGTAGTTCTAGATAAACTGCCTTTGGAACTGTTTGTTGTAGAAGAACCATTGTTGTGTTCAGAGGGCAGGGGAAAAAGTCGAACATTTTGATATTGGTTTTTTTCAGTAGCGCTTGAATCGCTGCCACATATTGTACTACCACTATTCTGTCTCGGTACCGAAAGATTTGGTGGTTTTGGAACGATTACTTTGAGATCCTCCCTGCTCATGTGGGTATTGCTCTTAGTGGATAAACCATGACCTGTCACGACTTTGGATGAAATAATCCTTGGGCTGCCTGTCAAACTCACGTCTGTAGCCCTTATCTCAAGGCATATACTTATTTGACTTGTCTCGATGGGATCTTCACATTTATCTCCACTAAAAAGGCTGCAATTTCCACTGGATACACGATTGTATAATTGGTTGGAATTCTTCTTACGCAGATCAGCATTGGGTCTGAAATATTGACTGTTTCGTTTAGTTAATCCTTTATCGCAGTGCTCATACTCATCTTTATTTACCTTCGAACGGTGGTTGCTTGAACTCAAAATGTTGTACATGGAGTACTCATGGTACATTTTATCATCATTTTCAGCTTGCTGATTGCCATTTGCCCTGTAAACCGTGGGATAATGACATCCCTGTAGCAGCCTTTTACAATATTTTTCGGATGCATTTTCTATAGAGGGACTGCGAATAGGAACCCTCTTATCTTGAACCTCCAAAGAGTGGCTACTAGTTTTTGGGGAGTTTGAAATATAATGGGGGCTTGGGCTTTCAGTATTTCTGCAATCTATGTGAGCATAGCTTAGACGACGATGTCCTGGCTTATAGTTCCTCAGTACGTTTGATTTGTTTCTAAAAATGTTTGACTTCGTCAAACACATTTTTGACCTTTTAAAAAATCCTGATATTTTTTGCTTTATTGTTTTACGCCTCCGATCTTTCCGAACATCATAAAATGATGTTTGCGGTTTAAATGAATTGAGGGCACAGTTTAAGTTACTAGCAAACGTTTCACAACCCGAATCCGACCTTTTTGGTATGTATTCACTTTTTTGGGAGTATGCATACCTCCGTTCTTTCTTTTTATAGGGAATCTCGATGGTGAAAAATATTGACGATGGGGTTTGCTTGCTTTCATGAATTTTGTGAGGTATTTCCGAGCCGTAGTTTAAGTCCGTAAAACGAACAAAGTCAACAGACTTCTTCGGATCCGGTAAGGACTTACCACGTCTTTTGTTTTTGTGACTTTCATATTCTCTGAATGATCTAGGCGGTTCTGATCTTAAGTTTTCGTGCGATCTTGGGATATCGTCACTGACCTTCTTGTGAAAATTGCTGAGAGGAACTTCATCACTAAAGTATTTTTTATAAGAACTTGGGATAGCCTGATGAACTTTATTTTGTATTTTGTACCTATATTCAGAATTTCTGTGAGACCTCTTGTCCACATAAAATCTATCGTCTTGAGTGTTTCTATGTTTTTCATACTTTTTTGGCGGAGCAAGACGTAAAATATCTTTGGAAATTCTATCGTATTTTTTCGGAGCTTCTCTAGTTTCTTTAAAATGGTTGCAACTTTTTCTAGTTGGCATTTTCTCTGGCTGGTAGTGTCGCTTATATCTATTATATTTTTTTTGGCTATCTTTTGGTTCCTCGTAAGGCGGAACATTCCTATCTTTTAGCTTATAATCTCTTACAGTTTTTTTATCTTTTGTGGGATAGTTCGAAGGGTCTGTAATATCCTTGTAAGACGAAGATCTGACTTTATAGTGCTTGGGTTCGGGTTTTGGAAAGGGTATTGGAGGTGGTGTCTTACGGCTTTCTTTATTATAATCTGGGTCAAAGTATCGATGAATTTCTTCGTGTTGATTTTGGCTGTTTTCATCAGAATAATCTTCGTAGTACTTGGAATTTTTCTCGTCATAATCATTTGCATTCCTTTGAGTAGAGTAATTTGAAGAGAATTCTGGTGGCATAGACCCCGAAGCTTGGCTATAATCATAGTCTCTATACGGTCTATTAGTTCTCAACCCCAAATCACGTGGCAGATATTCTCTATATTCTCGATTGTAATCATCTTGTGGTGGTTCTTCATGGTAAGAATAATATCTTTTGCGAGGTACGTAAAAGTGTCTTTGAATTGACTTAGGAGCATTAGTGTAGTAATCATAAGGACGTTCATATGTGGATTCAGTATAAGGATATCTTTTTTGGTTACTCCTCGGATCCTCCTCTTCTTCAGAATAATCAGAAGTTAAGGCCGTTGGATTGCTGGCCTCATATTCCTCGGCCTTATCTGGATAATATTGTTCGTATGTCCTTTCAGTTTCAAAGCGTGGAGTGCGTTTGTAGCTCCTATTATTCTCAAAATAGCCCGCAGAATCGATCGATGGGGATGGGGAAACTAAGCCGGTTTCGACACGACCCCGTCCTGGTTTAATCATTCTATAATGAAAGTGACGGGGACTGTCGGAATAGGCAGAGTTATCTCTTAGATGGCCAGGAGCACGTCGCTTATAATTCCCATGATCGAAATCAGCATGTCCGGGAGCGTAGAATTTATTTGGTGCCCCAAATGACATCGCACTCTCCGTAATTGGATTGCTCAATCCTCCGCCGGGAGTTCGCCCTGTGTATTTGTGACCGAGTATATATTCGAGTTAGTGGACATTTGTCGAATGTCGTTAATCAACTCACGCTTTCCATTGCAATCCGAGGTCCTTGGCGCCGTAATCTCGTTTCGGCGACCACAGCACACTCCCCCCGAAATATCGACATTGAAAAACATTAATGCCCGCATCAATTCATCGTCCTCCTTGGCACTCTCAAATCGGATTAAACTCCGGTTCGTCACCGTAAATGACATTTTCACCAGCCGCGAAAATCATGCTCCCACAGTCATCACAAATTTAACTGCAAATTTAATTCATATCGATTGTTTGTTTATGTCAGTTGGCTCGTTTTTTTTGATACTCTTTTCAAATATGTACGTACATTTGCCTAAATTAATTATCACTTCGTATTCATAAAATAGTTGAATTGGCCTGAGAGGAAATTGGTTTGATGGGTTTTCTTTTGTTACATATATTATTACGTTTTGGAAAATTGTTCAGTCATAATAACTTAACGTATAAATAAATAAATAGATAAATGATAAATAATTTTTTATTATATCCTGGTATTATTTTAAATTATTGTTTTTATGCCATAAATGAAATGTTAAATATATTGATCTAAACTAACTACACTTATATCAGTTTCAACTGAAGCTTAGATGTGTTGGGCAAAACCCTGTTTTTATGGTAAAGGATCATGATATGTCCGTCAAGAAGAGGCCTGAGTTCCACAAAGATCCTGATAAGAAGGTAAACACTGGGTCCTGGCGACCCATTTTATTATCGCACCGAAGGCCATTAACTTTCGCTTCCTTCGCTGTTTGCAGCTCCCGCATTTAATTGCAGGATAAATGCCTGAAATGGCAAACACAAAGGATGTGCCAACGAGAATGGGAATCTGGATGAGGATGGAATGGTCGTCATTACTTGAAGGGTGCTAGAAAATATGTTTTTAATTGCGGAAATATTTCCATTTCACAAATAGATGCGATAATTATTCAGAATGGCGCGAATTTCCATCACATTAAAAGTGCAGACAATGGGGGGATAGTAAAATGCAGCTAGCGGGATAATGAAAATCGTGTTCAAGTGCGGAAATGCTGAAAATTATTTCAATGAAACACAACTAAGTGCTTTTTAAGTGCCCCCGACGGTGGCACAAACCAAACGGAAATGGACGCAGGCGAGATTGGTTGGGTGTTTGGTTGGGGGAGAGATGGGAGGACTTGGTGACAGGACACGCAGGACACTTACGACCCCTGAACATTACAAAGTGCAATGAGAAGCGACAGATGCTATATGCGAATTATCGGTAATTAAGAAATTTGTTATGTTTAGCCACCTGTTTTTCTTACATATAAGTATAAATTACAAATGTTGAGTATTACTATAAAATACATCTTTATCCGTTAAGGCTTAATCTTATAGAAAGACAAATAATTTAGGATGCCACAAGAGGTGCCTGAAAGTATGCAACCATATAAATTTTTCAGGAACTTCGAGCTGCATACTTTTAGACACGTAAGTAGTTTTAAAATCTTAGTGATGTTTGTTAAAGTTACAAAGAAGGCTTACGAAATAGGACTCAAATGTACTTATAAATAATAAGTTGCCCCCAATATATACATAACAAAACAATACTTAAAATGGAGACGATTTTGGGCATTAAAGGATTTGATTTCGTCATACTGGCTTCAGATACCATGAAAGCAAAGTTCGTTATGTGGTTGGATGAAGGTGAGTAGACTGCAGTTGCCTAAGGTATATTATAAGATTGAAATATCTTTAGACAAATCAAAGATCCATCGCCTGACAAACTATTCCATGATGTCGGCCGTGGGCGATGGTGGAGATTGCCTGCAGTTCTCGGATTTCATTCTTCGGAACCTGGACCTTTACAAGGTGACCAACGGCTATGACTTGACTGTTCGCGGGGCGGTGCACTTCATCCGGACCAATTTGTCCGCCTATCTCCGGAGCAACGTGAAGTACATGGTGGCCCTGCTGGTCGGTGGATTTGATCTTACTAGCGGTCCAGAGTTGACCTACATCGACAGCTTAGGCAACTCAGTTCCCATCCGCTATGGTGGCCACGGATCCGGCATCAATTTTTGCACACCCATATTCGAGGAGTTCTACAATCCGCAGTTGGATAAACGAACCGCATATAGAATAATCGAAAAATGTGTGTTCGAGATCCAAAAACGATTTGTTATCAATTTGCGCAACTTCGATGTGTTTATGATAAATCGAGAGGGCATTACCAAGCTGGATTCCATAAACCAGCAGTCCTTCAGAGCCCAAGTGATGGCAAATCCCCCGACAAGGGAATGAAGCATTTAATAACAATTTAATAATCAGAATGTTGATTTATATATATTTTATTCAAAATAATAATTAACATCCTAAAACATTCATAGGTATAAGCTGATAAATTAGTTAAATCTATGGAGTAAGATAACTTTCCAGTCAAATGTAAACATTTGATAATTTGCGAAAACATATTGCAGCACGGCACTGTAAGTATATGATAATTATAGTAAAATCTCAGTGATCTTCACTGCTAAAATCCACTGGGAAACATCTAACAACATATTTTTCAATGTATCTTAACTTCATTAAATTAAAAATCATAAACATATACATATAAATCATAAATGACCAAAAATTAATGTAAATTTAAATAAATAAAGGTACTGGGGCGTCACAGAAGTCTCTGACGGCTTCAGGGACGGTTGCTTTACAAAAATCTGTCGGTATCACAGAGTCTACCCAGATTTATCATATCTATTAGTGTCCTTCGTCACTACTTGGACCCCCGTCAAAAGGGACGTACGGTTCACAAAAAACATATGTAAGAAAGGTGTCTTTTTTCCCAAGTTTTGGCGATTACGTGGGGCCGTTGATAGAATAACATCCGACCTTTCTACTCCAAGTTAATGATTTAATTTGCCGACTAATAACTTGTGGCTAATTGTGCAGCTGGCATAGTAAGGTGCTATAAAATGACCAACCATTTGTGAAAACCCAGTCAGTAAAAGAACAGGAGCCAGACAGGATGAAACTCAGCAAGATTTCCGGGATTGACTACTTTCGGTGCCAGTTGCTAGCCTGGCGAATTTGTGGAGCCCTGCATCTCAGCGAGCGTAACTTCTGCAGTTGGGCGACGGTTGCTTGCATCGTTATGTTCCTGCCGGGGCCCATGTTATTGGGAGTACTGTTTAGCCACGAAGATCCCTTGGAAACTAACTACAACTTCTGCACGACCATCACAACAATGTCAAATTTCGTAAAGTTTTCTTTGTACGTGACACAACTAACCAAGCTGCTCGACATTCAGAAGCTCATTGCAAAGCTGGACGCCCGGGTTTCCGGGAAGGATCAGATACTCCGGCGTGAAAACATGTCCAACCACATACAGAGGATTTCTCAGCTGTTTCTGATCACATATGCCATTCTATCTATTTGCTCTGGGGTTCTTTTTATCTTTGAGAAGGAGCGCAGCTTGCCTTTTCCCATGTGGTTTCCCTTTGACTGGAAAAAATCAAACATTGCCTATTTGGGAGATTTAGTTTTTCAAGAGATCGCAATTCTCTCTCAAGCTCTGCAGAACTATCCAGGTGATTCCTTTCCGCCCGTAGCATTGTACCTGGTTTCCGAGCAATGTCAGTTGTTGATCCTAAGGATCTCCAAAATTGGATATGGCTCAGGGAATCTGAAGAAGAATGAACAGGATCTTGTCAACTGCATCGAGGACCAAAACACACTTTACAGGTATGTCTCTACAAGTTTTCTGTATACTTTTAATATTCTTAATTCTTCTCAGCATACTTGAATTGATCCACACCATGATTTCCTTACCCATGATGATACAGTTCTTAGTTATTGGCGTTAATATCGCAGTTGTCTTGTTTGGCCTGATATTTTATGTGAATACCTTGTCGGATCGCCTTTTCTACGTGTGCTTTCTGTTGGCTATCACACTGCAGACATATCCACTGTGCTACTATGGATCCAAGGTGCAGGAGAGCTTTGAGGATCTCCACTACGCAGTATTCTGCAGCAACTGGGTGGGCCAGAGCGCCACCTATCGGGGATATATGCTGATCCTCTCGGAGCGCACCAAACGTCAGCAGATCCTTCTCGCCGGCAACCTGGTTCCCATTCACTTGAGCACCTTTGTGGCCTGTTGCAAGGGGGCCTACTCCTTTTTCACCCTGATGGCCGACCGAGATGGTCAGGGTTTTTTTAGTAAACGGGACCATCCAACTCAAGTTTCATTTAAATAAATACAATTTTAATAGTTACTGCACCAGCATAGACCAATAAGTACACACAATTTAAATGTTGGTTAATAAACGTATTAAACATGAATATTCTAGATAAATATTAACGCTATTATTTTTATGTTCAATTCTTTGGAGTTCAGTAGCCGAAATTATGAATTTGAGTCGACGAAAACAGTTCTCAATTTGGATAGAGTAATATACCTCCTTCTGTGCAATTTGTGTAATTAGCAATCGTAAATGAAATCTTTATCATCGGTTTTAAGGTCCAATATATCAATAGCCGCACTTGCTACAATAAATTATAAGTGGAAAACTTTAAACAAACAATTATAAAAGTAAATGTGTCCCTTTTCCCAAGTTTTGGCAATGATGCCGTTGATAGTATTGCATTCGACCTTCTTTCTACCCCAAGATAATTATATAATTTGCCAATTTATAACTCGTGGCTTATTGAGCAACTGACAAAGTAAGGTGGTATAAAACAGCCAGCCACCTGCCAAAACCCAGTCAGTGAAAGAAAAAAACCAGACAGGATGGAACTCACCAAGATCCATGGGATTGACTATTTTCGTTACCAGTTGCTAGTCTGGCGAATTTGTGGTGCCCTCGATCTCTGCAGGGGATACTACTGGAGTTGGGCGATGGGCTTGAACATTTTCACGTTCCTGCAGACGCCCATGCTTTTAAAAGCCGTATTCAGCTTTGAAGATCCGATGGATAATATCTTCAACTTCACCCTCGCGATCACATCGCTTTCCACTCTTCTTAAGTTTTTGATGTACTTATCGCAGCTAACTAAGTTGGTTGATGTTCGGAGGATTATCAAGCACTTGGAGTCCCGGGTTTCTGGGGAGGATCAGGTTCTCCGGCGTAGGAAAATGTCCAGGCATTTGCAAAGGCTTACTATGATTTTCCTGGTAACCTATGGCATAGTGTTCGTCAACTCTTCAGGATCCTTTCTTTTTAAAAGTGAGCGCAGCTTGCCGCTGCTCATGTGGTTTCCGTTTGACTGGAAAACATCTCTGGCTGCCTATATCGGAGCTTTGGTCTTCCAGCTTGTTGGACTTTTTGTTCAAATCCTGCATAATTTTTCTGGGGACTCCTTTCCACCCGTAGCATTGTACCTGGTTTCCGAGCAATGTCAGTTGTTGATCCTAAGGATCTCCAAAATTGGTTATGGCTCAAAGAATCTGAAGAAGAATGAACAGGATCTTGTCAACTGCATCGAGGACCAAATTACGCTCTACAGGTATGTCTCTGGCAGTTATTTTATACTTATATATTATGTATAATATTTTCATTTCTTCTTAGCTTACTAGAATTGATTCAAACCATGATTTCCTATCCCGTGATGGTGCAGTTCCTAGTTATTGGCATAAATACCGCAGTGACCTTGTTTGGACTGATATTCTATGTGGAGGCCTTATCGGATCGCATCTTCTATGTGTGCTTTCTGTTGGCTATCACACTGCAGACATATCCACTCTGCTACTATGGATCCAAGGTGCAGGAGAGCTTTGAGGATCTCCACTACGCAGTATTCTGCAGCAACTGGGTGGACCAGAGCGCCACCTATCGGGGATATATGCTGATCCTTTCGGAGCGCACCAAGCGACAGCAGATCCTCTTCGCCGGCAATCTGGTGCCCATTCACTTGAGCACCTTTGTGGCCTGTTGCAAGGGGGCCTACTCCTTTTTCACCCTGATGGCCAACCGAGACGGACAGGGTTTTTTTAGTAAACGGGACCATCCAACTCAAGTTTCATTTAAATAAATAAAATAGTACCCCTGCACCAGAATAGACCAGTAAACATACACAATTTAAATGTTGATTAATATGCGTACTAAACTTGAATATTCTAAATTAATACAACCGCTATTATTTTAATGTTCAATTCTTTGAAGTTCCATAGCCGAAATTATGAGTTATGGAGTCGACAAAAACCGTTCTCAATTTGGATAGAAGTAATCTACCCATATCAGCGATTTGGTCTTCATTGTATCCTTCTTTGCAATTTTTGTAATTGGCAATGGCAAAATAAATCTTTATCATAGGTTTAAAGGTCCAATATATTTATATCACCACTTGCTACAAAAAACTATAAATGGAAAACTTTTAACAAAAAATTATAAAAGTAAAGGTGTCCTCTTTCCCAAGTTTTGTAAATGATGCCGTTGATAGTACTTCATTCGGCCTTCTTTCTACCCCAAGATAATTATATAATTCGTGGCCAATTTATAACTCGTGGCTAATTGAGCAACTGGCAAAGTAAGGTGGTATAAAACAGCCAGCAACCTGCCAAAACTCAGTCAGTGAAAGAAAAAATCCAGACAGGATGGAACTCACCAAGATCCTTGGGATTGACTATTTTCGTTACCAGTTGCTAGTCTGGCGAATTTGTGGTGCCCTCGATCTCTGCAAGGGAAACTACTGGAGTTGGGCGATGGGCTTGAACATTTTCACGTTCCTGCAGACGCCCATGCTTTTAAAATCTATATTCAGCTTTGAAGATCCGATGGATAACATCTTCAATTTCGCCCTGGCGATCACATCGCTTTCCACTCTTCTTAAGTTTTTGATGTACCTATCGCAGCTAAATAAGTTGGTTGACGTCCGGAGGATTATCAATCACTTGGAATCCCGGGTTTCTGGGGAGGATCAAGTTATCCGGCATAGGATAATGTCCAGGCATTTGCAAAGGCTAACTATGATTTTCCTGGTTCCCTATGGCTTAGGGTTCCTCAATGCTTCGGGATCCTTTCTTTTCAAAAGCGAGCGCAGCTTGCCGCTGCTCATGTGGTTTCCGTTTGACTGGAAATATTTACTTGTTGCCTATCTCGGAGCTTTGGTCTTCCAGCTTGTTGGCCTTTTTGTTCAAATCCTGCATAATTTTTCTGGGGACTCCTTTCCGCCCGTAGCATTGTACCTGGTTTCCGAGCAATGTCAGTTGTTGATCCTAAGGATCTCCAAAATTGGTTATGGCTCAAAGAATCTGAAGAAGAATGAACAGGATCTTGTCAACTGCATCGAGGACCAAATTACGCTCTACAGGTATTGTCTCTGCCAGTTTTTATATTTGTTTTATATTTTTAACTTTTTTTAGCTTACTGGAATTGATTCAATCCATGATTTCCTTACCCATGATGATACAGTTCTTAGTTATTGGCATTAACACCGCAGTGACCTTGTTTGGACTAATATTCTATGTGGAGGCCATATCGGATCGCATCTTTTATGTGTGCTTTCTGTTGGGCCTCACTTTGCAGACTTTCCCACTTTGTTATTATGGAACCAAGGTGCAGGAAAGCTTTGAGGAGCTCCACTACGCGGTATTCTGCAGCAACTGGGTAGACCAGAGCGCCACCTATCGGGGATATATGCTGATCCTTTCGGAGCGCACCAAGCGACAACAGATCCTCCTCGCCGGCAACCTGGTGCCCATCAACTTGAGCACCTTTGTGGCCTGTTGCAAGGGAGCCTACTCCTTTTTTACCCTGATGGCCGACCGAGAGGGCCAGGGCTCCCTAAACCGGAGGACTTAACTCTCAATCTTCATTAAAGCAAGAATAACCCACAAATAGCTTGTATAAGCACCTAATATTTAAACGAAACATGGTCATGATATGTAATTTAATCAAATGTAGGGAATACATTGTTAAACTAAAGATCCAGAACTATTTGATTTAAAAATTGAAGAACAAAAAAACCGTAGTCAATTGATTTCACAATTTCCATACACTTATTTTACGGCGGAAACAAAAGATAAATAAAATAATTGATTCCAATGGCAACGGCAACTATTTTGGTGATCAAGGGAACCGACTTTGTAATGCTCGCATTGGATACAATGCAGCTCAAAGCACTGATATCTACGTGACATAACAAAATTAATAGCGTTTGAACTTATTAAGAAATTCCAATTTAATGCGGTAAATACAGTGAGTATTGTGTGCTCGTTGATCTGTTCTTGTGCAGGAGAACTACTTCATTTATTGATATAAAACTTGAGTTCGATGGTCCCGTTTACAAAAAAGAACCTTGGCCATCTCGGTCGGCCATCATGGTGAAAAAGGAGTAGGCTCCCTTGCAACAGGCCACAAAGGTGCTCAAGTGAATGGGAACCAGGTTGCCGGCGAGGAGGATCTGCTGTCGCTTGGTGCGCTCCGAGAGGATCAGCATATATCCCCGATAGGTGGCGCTCTGGTCCACCCAGTTGCTGCAGAATACCGCGTAGTGGAGATCCTCAAAGCTCTCCTGCACCTTGGTTCCATAATAGCAAAGTGGAAAAGTCTGCAATGTGAGGCCCAACAGAAAGCACACATAGAAGATGCGATCTGATAAGGACTCCACATAGAATATCAGGCCAAACATGGTCACTGCGGTATTAATGCCAATAATTAAGAACTGCATCATCATGGGTAAGGAAATCATGGATTGTATCAATTCCAGTAAGCTGAAAAGAATTATAAATATTACAAGTATAGAGAAAACTGGTAGATACATACCTGTAGAGTGTGTTTTGGTCCTTGATGCAGTTGACAAGATCCTGTTCATTCTTCTTTAGATTCCTTGACCCATATCCAATTTTGGAGATCCTTAGGATCAGCAACTGACATTGCTCGGAAACCACAAACAACGCTAGGGGCGGAAAGGAGTCACCTGGGTAATTCTGGACAAGTTGACAGAAAATTGCGATCTCTTGGAAAGTCAAAGCTCCAATAAAGGCAGAGTTTGATTTTTTCCAGTCAAAGGGAAACCACATGCGAAAAGGCAAGCTCTGCTCTCTTTCGAAGATAAAAGGAACCCCAGCGAAAATAGACAGAACGACATATGTGATCAGAAACAGCTTAGAAATTCTCTGAGTGTGCTCGAACATGTTTTCACGCCGTACTATCTGATCCTTTCCAGAAACCCGGGCGTCCAGCTGGGCAATGCGTTTCTGAATGTCGAGCAGATTGGTTAGTTGTGTCACGTACAAAGAAAACTTTACGAAATTTGACAGTGTTGTGATAGTCATGCTGAATTTGTAGTTAGTTTCCAAGGGCTCATCGTGGCTAAAAAGTGCCCCCAATAACATGGGCCCCGGAAGAAACATAACGATGCAAGCAACCGTCGCCCAACTACAGTAGTTACCCTCGCTGAAATGCAGGGCTCCACAAACTCGCCAGGCTAGCAACTGGTACCGAAAATAGTTAATCCCAAAGATCTTGCTGAGTTTCATCCTGTCTGGTTCCTGTCCTTTTACTGACTGAATTTTGACAGGTGGTTGGCTATTTTGAAGCACCTGTATGCCAGTTGCCACTAGTATCGAGTTTTGAATTGGCAATTAAATCATTATCTTGGGGCACCATTGGCAAAACTTGGGAACAAGAACACCTTTACTTTTATAATTTTTGGTTAAGTGCTGGATATTTTTAGTTTTTGTAGCAAACGATCGACCTCCTTTCCTATGACTATGATTTATTTAGCCGGGGCTAATTACACAAAATGCATAGAAGGTTTTAAAACAACTACCAGATGCACCAAAATGACCAGATGTCTGATAGCTTGTCGACATCAAGGTTCTAAAAACTCGGAATAACAGTAGCCATTTGTTTTTACTCACAATCACTTACATAATAACTGTGAACATAAAATATCTCAATACACATTAGTAGAAATATAAGTTAAATCAAATTTATTGTTACCATGGCGATGGAGACTATTTTGGGGATCAAGGGGACCGACTTTGTGATGCTAGCCTCGGATACAATGCAGGCCAAATCCCTAGTCTTCATGAAGGATGGTAAATAAGTTTGAAAAGTTGATTGACAGTCATAAGACGGATATAAAACAACATATTTAAACTAAATATGTATATATTTAAATAATTATATAGTGTTCAAAATATATGTAATAAAACAACTTTACCTTTAGATCAGTCAAAAATACACCGCCTCTCGGACTTCAACATGATGGCCATGGTTGGCGATGGTGGCGATTCGATACAGTTCACGGACTTCATCTCGAAGAACATGCACCTGTACAAGATTGCCCACGGCTATCACCTGAGTGCCAAGGCAGCGGCCCATTTCACACGGAAGACGCTGGCGGATTACATCAGGACTAATACCAGGTACCAGGTGGCCATGCTGCTGGCAGGATACGATGCCACCGAAGGTCCTGACCTCCACTACATCGATACCTATGGTGCAGCGCAGTCCATCAATCATGCAGGTCATGGATGGGGCAGCATGTTCTGCGGTAGCATCCTGCAGAGGTTCTGGCACTCGAATATCAGCCAAGCGGATGCCTATTCCCTGATGAGGAAGTGCGTCCTGGAGATCCAGAGGCGCCTGATCATCAACCAGCGAAACTTCGAGGTCTACGTGGTGGACGGCAAGGGAATGCGCAAGATGGAGGCCATCAATCCGGGATCCCTGAGCAAGGAGTCTATCAGCCTAAGTTGGTAGAGCGGGGAACATTTAAAACCTAGTTCGTACTTTACATCCTCTAATATCTAATAATTGAGCCCATGGTTTTTCGGCAAACTTTCGCTGCGATGCTCGAACAATTTCCCAGGGATTAGTCGACGTGACCGGTTTGGATTCGAGTGGTCGGGAGGAGGGTAAGTCGGGTTAGCCGGGTGGCTGCTACATGCCATGGTCGACTGCCTCCGTGTATTAGCATATGTGGCCAGCGCTTGTTCTCCATGGGAGCCATCTGTCTGGATGCGGGTGGCTCTGTGTTTGTTTGCGCAACAACGACAAAAGTTGCACTCGAGAAAAAATGACAAGAATATAAATCCTAATAAGGATTATTACAAAATTTAAAGCCTTTGTTAATTAAAATCATTGGGTTATTTCACATTTATACGACAGGTTTCCCGATTCAGGTAAAATTAACTGTGGTATTCAAAAAGAATGCGACACAAAAAATATCTCAACCCCAAAAACCAAATCCCGGATCCCCCACTGGCATGATATAATTCTTTTTCTTAGGTTTTGAAAAAATGTGTTTACTTTCATAGGTATTATTGGTATACGTATGGTTCAAATAAAAATCTGCCACATTATATATGATACCTATGATTTTTAATGCATGATAAGGCTTAGAACCACACATGAAATTTTGATCTTACGTATATGTGTTCGAAATTTGCAACGGGCACATCATCCCGACAGCTGTTTTACACTGTACGTGTTGCGGCAAAGGTCGGGAGGCGCTGGAAGCGTTTCATGTTTAAAAATCTTTTAAAAAATAATTTTTTGTAAATTTCAGATAATGTTTCTTTCCTAACTTAGCTTTTAGATTGTAAAATACTTTAAAACTTCTTTTATTTTAACAATTTAGAATTTTAATTATAGTAAATGAAAATCAAACAATAATTCCGAGTTTTCTCCAAGTGGACACTTCACATATATAAAATGTCGACGGTTGCGAATCGGAAGCAGAAAAGCCAACATGTCTCTATTTCCCATTTGAACAGCAGTCCGTCAGGATGTCGTTGGTTTGGATTTTGAGGAGTGGGGATGGGGATGGGAATGGGGTTGGGGATGGGTATGAGGAGTCGTCAGGAGAACTCATAAAAATGAGCACAGATTGCTGCAAAAATGCACTGCATTGTTCGTTGCTTAGTTGAGGTCTCTGAGTGGAGGGTTTTTCGAGCTGTCCTGACGGCATTTTCCTGGTTTTCTATGCCAGTCAGCGGGTTTTGTTTGTCTGCCAGCCGTGGCAGTTGCCATTGCTAATTGGCCGCACATGACAAAGTATCGCCAATTGAGTGGCATGCCCACTTGCAGTGATCGGAACCGTGAAAAGTCAACAATGACAAAGGAAAAGGCAGCGGTCTAGGATACCTGATTTCAGATGAGAAGGACTTTAAGAACGATTCATACAATCTGCAAATATTCCATAGTTTTTATTAAATCGATTTGCTACCCAAATTTGCGATTTTATACCCCTTACCTTATTATATGTATCCTCTGTATATTTAAATATTATTTTTGGAATATTTATTAACTATGCCAAACCAAATCCTCTTTATATATTTGTGTATCTATATCAAAAACCAATTTAAATATTTGTTTTATTTTATTTTTTTGTGTTGCAGCACTTAACATGCTTAGCACGTAAAATGCATGCCATTAGAAATTAATTAGCAATTTATGTAATGGTCAAAAAACAAAGTTCAAATAATATTTATCAATCTTGTCATGCATAACGCTGATTGAAATTTAATTGATTTATGTGGAAACTAATAAAAACTCATGAGCTGAAAAACAACCAAATATAATCAGTTATTTTTACGGCTATCCCTTGTTATTTCTTTCAAGTTTACCCATGGCAGTGGGAAGTTTTTTGCAGAAAACTTTTGACATGTGAGCGTCTCAAATGAACGCGCCTGTCTCAGGACACCTGTCTCAGTCTCACCGGTTTTTTTTCTCCCACCTGAAGCTGTGAAATATATTCACATCCTTGTAGAGAAATAACTTTTCGAGGGAAGAGGAAGAGAGATAATGTGCATGTAACCCCCGAGTCACTCCCATATTTACCACCCCCACACGACCATTTCAACCGGCAATTTGTGACGTTTAAGGGCGCAACGAGGCAGCGACTTCCTGACAGGACATTAACTTCCTCGCATCTTCGGAGTCGCTTCATCCGACTGTCTCGCTGTTTGCTATTTGCCGTGACGACTCTGATGATGATTCATGATGATGATCCTTGCAGTTTTCCTCGCCGTCATTTCTCATGGCCTCGGGGGCCGTGGCCTGGGTTAGTTGCCTTTTTCGACAGCCTATTAGTTTTTATTATTTGCTGCAATTAGTTTTTCGGCCTCGGCTGCTCGACTGCTCAGCCCTCTTCGCTTATGACACTTTCTCCACATTTTTCAACAGAACGAGCGTCATCTGTTGCCACCGGCAATGTTTTGCAGGGTCCACTCAAGAAAATTCTACAGGTTTTTACACAAATCGTTATCTACTTAAAATATCGTATTATGATAGATTTTTATCTATATATTTAAGATGATAATAAAGTTTACAAAACTATATGATAGATTTTAATTTGGTTTTCTTATCCAATTTTAATATAAAAATAAATGTTTTGTAAATAAAATATATAATTTTGAAATGTCTCAAAAGGATCAACATACTTTAACAATACGGCTCGAAGGACCCATCATTGGAATATACGAATGGCAAACAATAAAATTTAAGTTTAAAAATCTAGAAAAAAAATATTTTTTCGCTGACCCTCGAGTCGTAAGAAGTCTTCTTTATGATTTTTTATTTAAAAGAATGAATTTTAAAATGAATTTACAATATTTTAAATTTTTAGAAAATGTTAAACGTATTTATACGTTAACTATCCGGCTCATAGGACCAATGTTTGAAACAAAAGAATTGCAAAAATAAAATGAAAGTGTAAAAGTCCTCATAAAACATATTTCCAAGTTGTAGGAAATGTATATTTAACTTTTTTCTTTTTCTTCAAAACCTTCCTTCTTCTCCCAGTGTAGCTGCTGAATCTGCTGTTTTTCTCGCCGGCATTGACAAGAGCCAAACAATGGCCCGCTGGCTGACTGGCTGGTATCTATGATAAATTATGGCCAAAAGTCAAAGTCATCAATCAGTGGGCCATGTTTTATTTGCCGCCCGCGGCCATTTGCCATTTGTTTGGGGCCAAAACCAGAGGCATATGCAGCCGGGGGAAGGATCAGGAGGAGCAGCAGGACCCGTGGAGCGGCTCGAAAGGATTAAATATAAATCGCAGATGCGTAGACGACGGTGGCACAGGTGTCGGTGGCCCGGCGACAAGCATTTCGATTTAATTTTCATTAAAATTCAGGCATTAAATATGCAAAGGGTAAACTGCGGCTACGTCCTTCCAACGAACGGCCAAAGCCCATTAAAATTCCTTAAAGACCGGGCCGCCGTGGGCCAGATGACTCCTTTTCATTCTCGAGTGCTTATTAAAATTGCAAAGGTCCAGGATTTGCGGACATTATGATGCGGTGGCTGCGAATTTATGCCAAAACGGAACGGCACGGTCGACATCAGCTGCGTTTTCGTTCCTCGGCTGTTTAATTATGCATTTTTATCTGGAAGTTGTTGGGGCAAAGGCCAAGCCGTTTTCGGTACGAAAAGGTAAGCCGCAGCCACTTTGCCACTTGAGGTATGAAAACGGAAAATCTACGGCTTAAGCCAAGAATAACCGTACTGAACCGTGAATAAGCCATTTGAGTGACAGATATCAGACAACGTTGCGTATACGCAATTTCTGTGTGTGTCTATATCATCTCATCTTGGGTATTGTTGTCGCCACCATGGATCCCGACAATTGACAACCAAAGTTGCAATTAGGAGCTGTGCCAATCCTTTTTACCTTATTTTTCCAACCACCATCGCCGCAGGATTACTGAATAAAAAAGGAAACTTTTTACGCAAACCACCAACCTACACGCACTCGAATGGTTGGAGGTTTTAGTTATGCAAGAGAAATGCCTTGGGGAAATTAGCGAAAAAGGTAAATGTTTTACGGAAACATTCGTTCCAATAGCTTTGTTTTGGGTACGCAGTTTATAGCACCCAGTTACATCATTTAAAAAACCCTTAAACAACACGGTAAAAAATTAAAGTGGGGGCTTACCAAGTTATTGTATATTTTTTATGGTCATAATGTTTACGGTCCAAACTCCAGATTTCAAGGTTTCCTTTATTGATGGTTGTCTGAAAATGTCCTATAAAATTTCTATTCTCATGGGATGCAGCCAGCCATTGGATAAGCTCACTGCCAAAATTACAACTTGCATTACAGTAGCGTGCAGTCACCGATAAACGGCCTATAAATCACCCGCTTGGCCAGCGATCGCGTCAATATTCGCCTCTTATGCAACCAATTTTATTTCGTTGCTCTCGACGGGCATAAATCACGACTCCTGATGGCTGAAAACGGCGGGAAATTGGGTGATGATGCTGTTTCTGCAACAAAATGTCCCGGCATTAAACACCAACGATGGCATAATTTATGGGAATGCCGGATTCCAGGCTCGCGATGCCCGGAGACAGATGTGACATCAGCAGTGACCATCGTGACATTAATGCGGGCCTCCAGGCACGACCTTTCCGATCCTAATGGATTGCCATCGCGAAATTAAAGAGGATGGGATTTCCAGTACCTTATCGTAACTCTGATTTTCTATTTTTTTCAATTTTAGTTTGTTTAATTATACAAAAAACAATGTACGATTGAAAAAGAGAAAAATCAAGATCGAATGCTCTTGATTTGAGAACTTTTTCTTTTCACTTTCTAGAGAAGAAATTACTCTATACGTTTCTCTTCGAGAAGACTGCCTCTGCTTAAAAATCCTGAACTGCCTGCAAATATATATATTCTCAAATATTATGCCACCTATTTTCGTCGATCCTTTGCGACAGTCGTAAGCCAACATTTTCGCTCGACCATTGTTCGGCGAAAAAGTTCGCATGTGTCCATGTGATGAAGTCCCATTCCTGCATCCATTGCAAGTACATCCATGTTGATAATCCCTACGCTTGGGTACTTCCACGCACTGCAATGGAACAAAAAAAAAATGAGGGGGGACGGCGCATAAAAAGTTGCAGTTAAACTTTTCAGCATTTGTCAGAGTCAGAGGATTTGTTTGCCTTTGGGGCTGGCCAAGGCCAACATCCTGCTGGCATCCTGGGCCTGCTCCTTCGCCTCGAAGGATATCTGCCCCCAATTGCTCCGCCCGTCGTCGTCTATTTGTTTGTTTATTTTGCTCGTTCGTCGCACTGTTTGTTTTCTTTCCAATTTTGTAATTTCAAACTTTTTCTATTGATTTCTTGGCACGCATGAACACCTTCAGCAGAAACGACAGCCAGCAAAGTTGCCAAGTTCCCTCGAGAGGGGTGGGGGATTCAATTTAAGTTGCGGGGACTCCCCCATGATGACCATGCGTGGCTCGCAGTGCACACAGGAAAAAGAAAAGAGTCCATAAAAATACTAAAAAGAAACGAGGGAAAAGAAAAACTAAGGGGGAGTGAGAAAAGTTTCCAATGCACTTAACACTCTGTTTCGAAGGATGGAATCGAGGAAAAACTGTCAGTGGCATTGGCAACACATTTATTAATGTGTCAATCGGATTGAAGACCTTCCCAAGCCAACGGAAAACGATAAAGTTTTTAGACGGAAAAAGATCCGTGGTTACGATTACGGGTTTTTGTTGCGACAAATTATAAGAAATTATTTTTGCTAGTTTTTCCATTGTCCTTCTTGATAATACAAAGAAATACACCTAATGGTGGCCTGAATACAATCGATAGAACTGATCTTTGGCCATCACTAATTCATGTGAGCCAAAGGCTTAAGCTTTTTATCAGCTACCTTGCTTGTTTTAATCAATTTTCCAGGCTAAAGTGGAATCATTAGGAACCACAAAATGATTACATGGCCCGTCCCCAAGTCCCCTTTCAATTCCCAAACGAAAAGGAATTGTAATTATTCGAATTGTTACCCGTCGCTTGCCTAATGACTATTAGCTAAATGAAAACATTGCGTGCCGGCGACATTTTATTCGAGTGCACCACTAACCAACCGAAAACCACCCGCACCACCGGGAGCTTTATTTGCTATATTTCATGCCTGCCTGCACTTATCTCCGATTGTCCATCGGGTGGGCTTTTGGGGTTCTGAAACCGCCGACTTACTCCGGCAAATGTAATTTGGCTTGGCCGGCGCTTCGATTCCACTTTATGTTCTAATTACTTGCACAACACAAAAACGCCACTTCAATTTGAATTAGAATGAGTGGGCACCGCCGCCTGGGGAGGTAGTACTGGTTTGGGTTCTGGTTCTAGTACCGCCCCCAATGCCGGGGTAAACCCTTATTCCTGGCCACAGTTGGCGCCACAACTTTTAATTACAGCAGCGCAAAATTGCAGATGCACTGCCGCGGTACTCGGTCCCTAGGCCCCACTTTCAATTCCATTCCTATTCCCATTCGTATTCCTATTCGTATACCTATTCCAAATCCCCAAACCGAGACCCCAGAGCCAATGGCCGTGGCAATGGCAAATCCAAAAAGCATATTAATTGCGCACTGCGTAGGCGTCGCCTGTAATGGTCTATAATCGATTTAAGCACGGGCATTATGTGGGCTAGGGTCTAAATTGCAATTTCGTGTATGACAAATGGGTTTTCTGGTTTCTGGTAAGTACACTCGGAAATAACCCGCATTTTGAAAAAATAATGTGTGGAAATAAAACACTTTTCTTGCTCTGTAATAAAAGAATCTTTTGATTTTATTTAAAAAATCTTTTACAGATGCCTAGAAGTATGCAATAATTTAATTTTGTTTACTAAAGTTTCACATGTTCTCTCAGAGAGATGACTTTCTCTTTTTCGCTGCATACTTTTAGGCTTACTTTAAAGTTATTTCAAATCCCTAGCAATTTCTTTTTATTATTTCAAGTGTTAATGTTAACACAAAGAAAGAATTTTTTACCTATGCATAATTTTATATAATTTAATTATAAAACCAAATATATTTCGATGAGTGTATTAACTGAATTGGCAAAATTGGGTAGTCGAGGCCAATGAAATTTAAATCGAGTTAGCTTAGTAGCTATTTTTGCCTGTTTTCTGCTCAAAGAGAAAAGCCAATCGATATTCTCCCATTTGCCCAGAATCTTGGCTTGTATATCCTTGGTTATTTGGTTATCCATCACAACGTTCTCTTCCAATTAAAAGCAGTTGCGCGTAGCAATTGACCATCAAAATCACTCTGACAAGACAGTGGTCCCCAATCTACATGCCCACAAGTGTGTGGGTGGATGTGGATGAGTCGATGGGTGGTTGGATGGTTGGATGTTTGGATGGTTGGGTGGCTGGTGGTTACGTCTGATATATAGAGAGAAAACCACCCAGGGCTCGTTATTGTTGCCGTTGGCTTCGCCGTCAATTGCAGCTGGTGGTGGTGGCTGCACCACAAAATTCAACGCAATTTGTAAAATGAAATCGATTCAATTGATTGTTGACTTCGACAAACACACATCCACCTCCGCATGCACAACCCTGGCAGAACCAGAACCAGAACCAGGAGCAGGACCATCATCCTGCAATTGGAAGGTAGTGCAGGCGACGATGGTGACAGGTGTCTGGGGGTGGACGTGTTCATATCCTTGTCGTCCTGCCACACATATATACATATACACACGCGCGTGTGTATGCACTGCACTTTGCTTGATTAAATTTCAATATTTACTAAAATGTCGCCGAACTCTTTCTGACAGCTCTGTAAATTTCATAACCGGAATCGACATAAAATATGGTCAACTGGGTGTAAATATAAGCTTGACAAGCGCATAAGTTGACTGAAATGTCCGGCTTTTTATTTATTTTTATTCCATTCAGCTCTTTTGTTGCTGGTAATTTGTTATGGTTTGTCATGTGCTTACAGCAACAAATGGTCTATAATGGGCTATAACCCTCTAGATTTTATGACTAACTGATATGCGGGCTTTGTCAAAGGCATCAGATGGCCAAGGCAATTACTCAGCCGACTGAAAGACAGGATTAACGTTTTGCTTTTGCCAATCAGAGTGATTCATTTGCATTCATAATTGCGAATTATAAAAATAAATGAAGGAATATTTCATCTGTTGTTATTTATGCGTGCGCTGATTGATAAATAAGTGGCAATAAAACACCTTGATGGCGGGATTATGTATAAGTTATTGGGATTAAGGTCGTAAAAAAAAATATATTGTTTTTTTGAAACAACAACGAGTTGTATGATTCAGTTTCAGTTTTGCTTTTGCCTTCAGAATGATTTATCTCCTTTCATTACTCTAAATAACAAATTTCTGAAAAAAATTATAGAACAAATAAGTGTTAATGGATTCTATGATAAATAAACTCAAGGACCTAAATCATCTGGACGATGAAGAAGAGTGGGTTCCTAACCTTTTTCCCGAAGACTAATTTTTCTTAATTTACCATTTACAGTAGTGAGACAAAAGCTGACTGTCTAAAGGATAAGAAAAAACCTGATGCCAAACTATCCAATCTAGATAAACTATTTAATGAACTTAACCTAAATGATGTAAGGGAAGACTTCTTACTCAAGCGAATGAAGGTGGAGACTAGCAATTCCAATAACTATCCTTATAAGGATTACTTTAACAACAGTGCCACCGATATACCTTGGGATAAGGTGAGAGAGACAGGGGATCCAATGGGTCCCGATTTTGAAATTGATTTTGAAAATGTATTCGAGGACGTAAGCAAACTGACCGAAGTGGAAAAGCAACTGCAGTTACTCTACAGACCGTTCATCTGTCAAATGGACCTCAATTGCCGGTTCAATATGTACGAACTGTGCCTTCTGATGGCCGATTCCCGTTACGATCCGGCTAGTCATCCAACTGTGTCTGTGAAGGTAACTCATCCCAGTGCCCAGGTGAAGATCCATGCGGCTGGCAAGATTGTGGCCACTGCCTTAAACTCGGATTCGGCCAGGATTGCCCTGTTCAAGGTGATCAGAGTTCTGCAGGATCTGGACTACAAACCTGATATTAAGAACTTTGGCAAGAGCATCGTGAATGCCTCCTTCAGCATGCCCTTTAAACTCGATTTGGAGCTGATGAGTCGCCTCCATGCAGAGGAGGTCACCTACAATTGGAGCAAGCGACCTTTTATCACCTACACTGACGAAAAAGAAGGTGTAAGATTTGCAGTTTTTCCCACGGGATTTGTATTGGTTCTTCACTCCAACGGGCACAGTGAGACCCGTGAGGCCATATCTGCATTTCTGCCTATTCTGGCTAAATTCAAGAATGGCTATCCCACGGATGCGGAAAAGGAGGGAAAACTGGTAGGTGATCTGTCCTATAAATTGTTGTGGGAAAAGAGATTAGAGGAGGACAAAGAGGGTTTGCTGCTCTACTGTTGAAGAATTTTTTATTTGTTTAAATAATCTTGTTAAAAGAAGCGTGAAATAAAAATATAATGACTTCCTTATTCTTACGCAGAAAATGTAACATTTATATTGAAAAATGCTCTAAAATGTATTACTTAATATTACCATTCTTTAACCTTGTTTATTTTAGTGTAATCCAAATTCACTTTTAATCGCAACAGAGATTCCGAGATAGCCAGTATCCAGTAATCGCTTTGTATCGTCCTGCGAAATACTGGAAACATTTGTCATAAACCAAAGTTCTGCACGTGCCCTGTTTACACTCGCCAGCAAAGTTGGGCAACTTGTTTAAATACGTGATTTATTCGAACGCCAGCTGCTGAGCGACCGCCGAACAACCAGTGACACTCCACTCCGGCCAACCACTACCACTAGTCGGATGGTATATGGATGGTGTACTATATATAGGGTGAGGGCCTAGGCCCGGGGCCAAAGTTTCACCAAACAGTCGCAAAACAAAAACAAGAAACAAATGACCGAAGAAGTTGCAACTGCGAGTTGCAACAGGCGCATACATAAATAACGAAACATTTTCGCACACTTGCCGCAACTTTCCCGGGAAAATGTCACATTATGCGGAACAAGTGGCCGCCTTGAACACGTTTCCGACGTGCTACAGCACCTTCCCAAGTGCCCGGACTCAGGACCTCTTTTTTCTCCAGAACTTTTTAGTTGGAAATATTACGGGAAGTCGTACATTTCACATTTACGTAATTACCACAGGTGGAATGCAAGGTGGAAAAGAAGGGGAATATAAAGGAAATATATAAGGGATATATTATAAAATGTCAATATAATTCAAAATTCGAATATATTTTTAACTTTAATTTAACCTTCTCCTTAAAGGTTTTTAATATATTTATTATAAATGCATTATTGATTGATATATCAAGTTTTTAAATATATTCTAAAATACTTTATTAAGACATGTAGGTACTCTATTACAGCATCCCCTCATTAGGAACTTTTTCTTGTTTCAAAGTCTACAATAAAAGTTTGTTCATTAAATTTTCACATATCTTGCAATATCTGTTGGCTGGAATCTTTATTCCCCTTCCCAAAAAGGTTCGACAAAAGTTATCATATGCGCATATAAGAAACTCTAATGTGCCAGAGGTTATCGAAATTGGACAAAAAGAAATTGCGATGGCGGAGCAAAATAATTCGCAATTTATCTATTTTCGGTTGAGGTAGGCAAACTTCTGTGCCCCCAGGCGCTTTTTGGCCAAAAATATGCTCGGAAAAACCAGAAAGCAGAGAAAATGGAGGGAAACTACCGATACGATACTATGATGCGGTGGCAATCGAGCCAGGGAATCCGGGGAATCCGATTAAAAAGTTGAACCATCAAAGTTTAAGAAAGGAGATGAGCGGGCTGGAGATTATGAATTATGCATTCTTGCCCAGGGACTTTTGGCTTGAAAGCCAAAGCTAAAAATTATCCACTCGCCCAGCTAACGAAAAAGGGTTGCGGCTTCTGCCTTTGAAGATTAGACAACTTTCCCGGGAGTCCACATAGTAACTGTTTTCGCATTTATAAGTGAACATAAACTGCATAAGCGGAGAAAACCCTATTGAATTTGGAATGAAGGAAGACCTCCAGTCCTCATAAGCATTTAATAACAGTGGGAACTTCTGTCACCGGAACTTCTGCCCATTTCCCCATTTCCATTTCCATGTCTGCGGTTAACCGCAAAGATTTTACTCTCGAAAAGGTGTCGCAAATGGACTTTTGCAATTTTAATAACTACTCAAAGTGGCAAACTGGTTCGTTAACTAGCCGCACACACACACATTCCTTGCAGGTCCTGTGCTGCACCAAAGGACTTTTTGCATATTTAACCAACTTGAATTTAAATGAAAATTAATCCGAGACCAGATGCTGCGGCTGCCCAGTCCGCAAATGTGTTTGCTTTGAAAAATGAAACTGCAAACGAATAATTGCGTATGGAGTTTGTACTTTTAAGGATTGGTTTACCTACGTAAGTGAAACGGAATTTTGATTTTCCCAATACAAAAACGCCTTAAAGTTGGCAGGTCCCTTAGAAAATGTTTAGAATAATTTAGGAAGTACTTTTCAAAATATTCTAACCCCTTGTCAATGAAATGCGTATTTCTTAGAATCGGCTGAGGGTGGAAAAACATAAATCTAAAATTCCAAGCGCCAATAAATTTTCCTTTTGATAAACCCCCGTAAGCCTTTTCATGGCCAAAAACAAACTTCTGTGATTTATGAAGTTCTCGGCTACTGCTCGACTCCTTGGGCAATAAAACACAGAAGCCCATCACTGCCATCTATGGACACGATACAAAACTTTTGTCCCACTCCGCCCCCTCATAAGTATTCCGATTTTAAAGACTAGATTTGAAGAGCCAGAACCAAAAAAAAATATATAAATATGAATCACTAATCTTTATGGAGCGAACCAGTGTTTTTCCGGTCATAAAAAGCGGAAAAGTTTTCTCTTTCGCAAATAAACCAAAGTGTCGATGCGCAGATAAAAACTGTTCATCTGTTAATAAAGTTTTTGTATAAAAATCAAGCATTTAAATTACAATAACATGGCATTCGCTGGCCGTTTGGTCACAGCTTGTCCTGATGTAAATCCATAAACAAAATGAGACATGTTCGCCCCCTAATGTTGCTTATTTGCACCCCGCTGTGGGGGTTATTTCTGTAGATATCCGGATAACGATGGGGGACATGTCATCATGCCCGACATTTGCGTCAGCTGGCGATCAAAGTCAAATTAAATTGGAACAACTTTTCGATGTCACATATTGTGCATAGAAAACGGATTCGTTGTGAACAAAAGAAATTGGTTAGTGCCAATTATGGATTTTTTGGCCTGGAACGTGACCAAAATAACTGGAGAGTATACAAAAAAAAATGCAACCACTTTTTGCTTTAATTTAGTAAACGGAAAATACACGCGTGTCCTAATCCCCTGATTATACCGAAATATATATTCACAAACGCATCTAACTAATTTGCATTTACATTAATCTATTGACCTTATTCATTTATTAATGTGTTAATTAGCTCAATTACGGCACTGGCTAACATTGCGTATGCGCGATATCTAAGCCTATGGCTTATAGTTTCCACAATTCAGTTGTTTAGAGAATGTTGACCACTCGAAACCACCAGAAAAGGCATATATATAAATAGTTTATGAAGGTCTACGGCATCTGCTGTTTCTTTGATTCGGGATCCTTTCTATATGTTGGAAAAAAGGGGAAGCTTCAAAAACATCATACCTGCTGGCACTGGAAAATCCTCGCTATAGGCATAAATCGCTATACTCTGCTTGAAGATTCCATATATTTTGTTAAGCTATTTTGTTATCTGCAATTTCCTTAAAAAAATATATTTCTGAAATGTAATTTCTTCTTTTTTTACAAATGTCATTTTGGTAAGTATGTTTCAAGTCCTAGCCGAATAAAAGAAAACTGCATAGTCATAGTTCAATTAAATGTAAAAGCTGATTGTTAGTTAAATGGAGTCCACCAAAGCCAGGTCCAATCAGTTCCAATTTACAAGTCCAACATGAAGTCTTTGGAGTGTTTTACCCGTCGTTTTCTAGAAATAATATTGTGGCTATTGTGCTTAATACCTTTGCCACCGATTAACCAGTTGCGATGGCTTTTCGTATCTCTGGCTTTTCGCTTATGTTGGATTTCATATTTTGTGTATTTACTGAAAGTTGGCATTGGCTTTTCAACGATTGCAGTCGAAAGTGTGGGAAATGTTGTAGGCACTGCGCTGTTTATGGGAAATACAGTGCTGGGAATTTTTCTAGTCTTAGAGAGTGTCCTGAAGCAGAGGACCCACAGTCAGCTGGAAGATTTGCGTTTCCAGTCGGAGTTGCAGTTGCAAAGACTCGGAATGTTTGGCAAACGTCGCCAGGCGGCATATCTGTTGCCCCTAATTGGCGTCCAGTTTATTTGTGATCTCACCAGATTTTTTATTAATAATGAAGAAATGTTTTCGCCCGTTTTTATGATATCCTTGCCATTAATGTGGCTCCTTCGATTTCGCTATGTTCAACTGGTGCAGCATGTTATGGATCTGAATCAGAGATCTCTTCAATTGCGAAGATCCCTTTTGTCCTTGGCTTCGGGGAATGATCTATGGCAGCCCTACGGAGTCCACGAGTGTCGTCAACTTCAGACCCTTCGGTCCACCTATGAGAGGATCTTCGAGTGCTACCAAATGTTCAGCGACTGCTATGGATGGGGAATGCTGGGTCTGCACTTGCTGTCTAGTTTCCAGTTTGTAACGAATGCCTACTGGACCCTGATGGGTCTGTACGATGGTCGGGACCTACGTGGCATGTTGTTCAACGGAGCCACCGGAATCGATTTTGGCACTCCCATAGCCACTTTATTTTGGCACGGCGATTCTGGATCTGAAAATGTAAGTACACTGTACTTAACAACATAGAGTTAAGACAAACCACCATTCTCAACTACTTACAACCCATATAAATTAGCAGACCATCAATCAAGACTGCTCTATATACGAATCTGGCAAATCATAACCAATTAACAGTGACAATGATGCATTGGCATTCTGCCGAGTACATTAACTGAATTTCCATCCAAATAGTTCCTTTTAGTTACAATGTTTCCCCCGACAAGAGTGCAAGTAATCTCACGAGTGTTCCTCAAGATATTCCACCATATTTTGGTGGCATTTTCCCTGAGATTCAGTAGACTGTCTCAATTGATCTTGTGGTTGCGGTTTCTGAGCTGGACAGCCTGGTTCACTTTAGTTTGGACGCAAAGTGTGATTTATGCCCAATTACTTGAATGCAATATGGACTGCATACTGCGTCATGTGCTCACAATATTCCAGACTTTTTCGCATGCTTTCATTGTGGTCATCACATTCCTGGAGGGGTTTAGAGCTCATCGAGAACAGACGGATGAGGTGGTTGTGTTCGAGGACTCTGATCCCTGGATGGCCTTAACTGCGTTGGCAATGCTAGTGCCCATTTTTGCAGTCGAGTATTTGGTGTGTTCAAATGCGCCCGGATATCCCCATAGAGTCAGATTCTATCACCTAAGAATGCTACCCAGTTTCCTGGCTCTGCAGATGCAGATTATCTCCTTTATCCTGGAAGTCATGAAGGCGAACATTAGGGTTCGTCAGACCAAGCAGCAGCTTAAGGTTTTGGCCAGGGAGCTATCCAGTCGTTGGCCACAATGTAAGCAGAGGCCAGATTTCCTGGACCAACAGATCCATCGAATTAGAGACCTAAAAAGGAGCTATAATGAGCTCCATAACCTTTTCGATCGAATCAATGGATGTTTCGGTGGTAGCCTTCTAATCATCATCATGGTATACTTTGCACTCTTTGTGTGCAATTCGTATTGGCTTTTTGTGGATGTCAGAACAAGTCCGGATAAGTTCTATGCCATTCTCCTCAACTTGGGTTTTATTTTCAATGTGGCCCTTCAGATGTCGGCTGCCTGCTGGCATTGCCAACAAAGTTATAACCTAGTGAGGAGAAAATATATAGTTCATATTCCTTAAAATTCATATCATAACTATCGTTTCAGGGTCGTCAAATCGGTTGTCTTATATCGAAGTTGGTTAAACCCCAGGGCAGCAAGCGTTATAATGATTTAGTGAGCGAGTTTTCTCTGCAAACCCTACATCAACGTTTTGTGGTCACCGCCAAGGATTTCTTTAGTCTTAACCTCCATCTGCTCAGTAGCGTAAGTATAATTACTATACTGAACGAAGATATAGTTACCTATATAGTCCCATTTAGATGTTTGCAGCTGTGGTCACATACCTTGTCATTCTCATACAGTTCATGTTTGCTGAGAGGAGTTCGAGACCTAATGCTGGATAAGGACAAACAGAAAAGGTCCCAGATGATAAACCGCTTTCATTGAATTAATAAATTAAGAAAGGGTTTCCTAATTATATACATTTCAATCAATATTTAATAAACCATAAGTTTCACATTTTCATTTCCCAAATGAGTCTAAGAAGTTTTCAGCCCTAAATAAAACTACTTAAATGTTCAATGATTTAATTATGAAACACACATTCTCTGGCAAGCAGACAAACTAAGAGCCTTTTCATCTTTGTCGCAGCTCTTATAAGTGTATAACCCTAATTATTTATGCCGCCCACGATTTGAGGATGGGTTGAGTTTTAGGTGGTTTAAGGGGAGGGCCTGAGCAGAAAGTTAGATTGCGCAAAGTTTTATCTTCGTTTTTCTTAAGCGCATTTTACAGGGCGAAAAGGATGGGCCAGGATGTGGAGGCGGTAGCAAAACTACTTCACGCATATTAAACTGACATTTCACAAGCAGAAAACTTTTTCTAATATGCAAATTCATGGCGAATGCCTGGGAATGGGATGAAACAGCCGCACATCCTTGAATTAACACGTGCGAGTTCGCATTAATTTGTGTAAACTGGTGTTGGAACTGCTCGGGGTTACTCTGCGGATATGCTGGATATGGCTGGGATCTGGATCGGGGATCTGAATGAGTCCTGGTAGTACTAGTGGTGCTCGAGGAGCAGTTTTTGTCGTTAGCTATGCAAATGCCGAGCCATGTAAATATTATTTACCGCACCAGCAGATGCTCAAGATGTAACTGTGCCGCCACTTCTGGCCCAAATTAGCATATAACAACTGTAACAGTCGTTTATACATATTTATGAGCCGCCTGGATTAGCACTACCTTCAATGTACCCTTTTTGCTGGTTGAGCTACTCGGTTTTAGGCGGGGAATGAACTTAGGCTAGTTGAGTACTCTTATTATAGAGGGAGAATGGTATTACCTAGATACCAGTAAATAAAGTTATATGTGGCTTATCAAATATTACATTTATAACCATTTAACTTTAATTTTTAAAATCTTTATAAAATCAAGCTGGCAACACATTAAACCTTTCCCAACACCTAGAATATTACAGTACTATCCTATAAACTCTTAAACGATACTAGCTAAATACCATACCCCTCCCATCACTGAGTAGGCCAACATGACTTGTCAATTAGACTCATAGACTGAAATCGAGGTGACGACTATCCAACGTTTATAATCTTTATTAGTAAACTATTAAAGTCCCCAAAAGTAGTGCTATCAACCGCCTATCCTAATGGAACGCGATCCAATCTGGAAATCTATGTATGCGCGAAGGATTCCTGCCACGGAACCGATGGACGAAACTGAAACCAAGTTGGCCAAGGCCTTCAGGACGAATCATTATATTTTTGGCCCAGAACTCTCGCCGGAAATGGATCTTATACAGTCAAAAGTCTTTTGCAAGAAGTGTCTGCTGTTTACCAACCTTTGCCAGACCGTCGGAAACCATGTGAAGGAAGTAGAGGAGGAGATTCTAAGAGCAAAATATCAGGCAGAAAATGCACCAGCTGATACATATTATCATAACTAAACAGAGTTTTCTCAGATATAATCACAATTTATACATTTTTTGAAACGACAATTTGTAATTTAAAACTTGTACATAAGAATGTAAGTTCATAACAACATTTATCCTAGTTTTCAAGGTGTCATAAACTCATCAACGTCTTATAAACTACCTCACAACTCTGTCTTAAGCGCCTATGCAATTGCCATTTAAGTTTTTCGGGGGAGGATGGTGAGGAGATGCTAATTGGTTTTTAGTGAATTATTAGCCAATCCAACTTTTAGGACTAATAGAAACTTGCATGCATGAATATTTTATCCACTTTACGAACTGTTCAACTTTTTTGATGAATTCCCAATTTGAAGGAGGCTTTGTCTTCTCACACAGCCCCCGGCAACGAATCATTTATCAGCATAGTGGGAGGGAAGTTTTTAAATATTCATAAAATTTGAACGGACAGAACTTTCAAAATTAAATTAGTCAAATGAACAAAAGTTCATTTACACTCCACGTACGAGGCTCCGATGTCCATACTTACAGAAACCATTGTGTGCGGCCCAAAGCCAAAAAGCTCTAAAAGTTGGCATAAATTACTAATTAATGCAGGAGTGCTCCATATATAGGGGGAGGGGTTTTTATCCATCCCATAATTCAGGCCTCTGTTTTATAGTTGGCAATCTATTGCGATTTGTGGGTACGTTGGAAAATATGGTTTTCTGTCTGCATTGGACGCAGTGTGCGAAAGCGAAATTGAAGTTTTATGCTAATTTCAGCCTTCCATCTCTTTTCCTTGCCCAGTGTTCCTGTCTCTCTTTCATCTGGCTGAGCCCAGGACCTTATCTAGTTGTCGAGTCCTGTCAACACAAGGCATTACAAGGCAATTACGAATTTGTTTATGGCTCTGAATCGTCTCGTCGACTTGCCACTTGGCCACAACACTCGAAGATCTATCTTTCTCAGCATGGATGGATGCGCCCCACATTACGGGCCATGTGAAAAAATTCACTCGAAATCAGATTCAATTTGAAAGGATATGCAGGTTAAGTTGGAATGGCCTTTGGGCTTATCACTAGAAAAGGCAATAGAAATCTAAGCTAGCCCTATTGAAAAGCGTTTTAGTTTTCCATTTACGAGATGGCAATTAGGAGGATTACTTTACCATATCACTCAAGTTTAGCTTTATAAGAAACTTTCATATTTTCAAACCCATCTGAGCTTTATTTATAAGCCAGTTTGATATTATTTTATTAAGAAGTTTTATATATACATCTTCATAAATTGTATGTGTTAATTTTGAAGTCCTTCTTAGATCCCTAAGCAATTTGGAACCTAATACGCAATCCCACATGCAATCATTCCCCATATTAATGTTCTTTTCCAACTTCTAGCTCTCAGATGAAGAATTTAATCAAGAGCAGCTCAAATTTGTTGGGGACACATGTCCATATAAATGTAGTACACATGGCCCATAAGTCAAGCCTAATAAAATTCCACTCTGCCAAATTCGAACGACAAAAGTAATCTCCAAAACCCAGCACCACAAAGGAAAAGGCGGTGAGTGGGGTGAAAAAGTGCGTCACTTAAAACTTTTGCACTCACTTGACCAGAAACTTTTATTTTCCGTTAGCAAATTTCCCACGGGTAAACCGGAAAAGTAACAAAATGTATCTGTGTGTGTGTGTGTAGCCGGGACATCTTGGCGAACAAAACTTTTTTTCTCGTGTCCACAAATTGAAAATATTTCCCAGTCATATTTAATTTTGGGCCAGCCCTGGGTCCAACCCAAAAATCTCGGAGGTAATCAAAGATGATGCGAAGGTCGGAGTTCGGAGTTCGGGTATATGGACTTAATTACTGGGGATGCTTGAGGACCAGGCAACGATACGGCTTAAATTTCAACCTTGTTGACTCGTCACAGCGGTGATAAAAATGGAAAAGTCAACGGGACAAAGGAGAATAATGAGGGCAGGCGGTAAAGGAGAGGAGAAACTAAATAAATAATTCAGTATAAAATGTCAGGAGCACTGGGAGCGTTGGACAGGACAACGAAGATGTCTCGGGAAGTCGTCGCCTCTCAGATGCAGTCAAGGAAGCAATTGTATTGTCTGACTGCTGTTTTCCACTTTAGTTTGCCACGCCTTCAACGGACGCCCATCCGAACACCACCCACCATAGAAGACCAACCACCCAGGACCATCCACCATCCACCGCCTTCATCCGCCCACTGGTAACTTGTTGACGTTGATATCCGTACGTGCCGAAGGTGAATGGCATCTGTGGACGCGAAATTGAATTCGTGCCTGGCAGTTCCCGTTCCCATTCCCATTCCCCCACAACAAGATTGAGTCGCACTGGGGATAGGGTGGAACTTGGTATCCAGAACCCAGAACTTGGAACTTGGGGCGCTGGCCAGGATGTGTCAGGTGGCTTTACCTGCTGACTTCAATATTTTGTCGCATTAGGTTGACAATTTAGATGTTTGTCTCGCGCATTCTCGCAGGATTCAATTTGAAGCAAATGCAGCAGCCAGCCGGGGAAATCTGCAAAAGTTAACAGTAAGCCGGTAAGGGAAAAATAGTTCTAGGGGGAATGGAACCCTGGTCCTCCACAAGGGAATGGCAAGGTCCCATCCAAATGCGAGTGCTTACATAAAAATCAGTCGTCTATGTCCTGGCCCAGTCATTCATTAGAGATGTAATGTCCCTACTAGCCGAGCAAATCGTTCGAAATACAAAGGGATTTGATAGTTTAGGACTGTTTTCAGAGTAACGAATACTCGAGAATCTGTAGGTTAACCAAAGAATATCAAAGGGGCTTTTATAAATAACATTAAGTTAACATTTTAGTATTATTATATATTATTATTTTAATAATTAATGCAATTCCTTTAATATTTACTTTCTTATAATATACCGACTGAACGAAAAATAAGTAAATACTTTTAATAAATTCCAAGGAATTTGTTATGATACTTTTTAAATACTGAAATACTGAAATGACTTCATAACTTACTATGTTTGTCTTACAATGTCATCCCAAACTTATTGTGATACTAATGTGCTCCGACATAGATGTTAATTGACCCAGGTCAGAAGTTCTGACTCAGAGTCCGCACTATCTTGATTTCAATTTCAGCTCTCAACTTTCAAATACTCTTTACCACCACGAGCATAAAAATTGGAAAACATTTTTTGTTTTCGCTCTAAAAACGTCACTTTCTGGGGGACGAGGGTCCTTAAGTCACCCGTCCTTGGCCCACCCACTTGTAATGTGACTGTCGCTGGCAGCCACCCACCACCCGAAGGACCACCCACCCCAGCTGGCATTTCATTGTTGTGCTTTTCTTTTCCCATTTTATTTATATAATGTGTCTCGAATGTGTGTCTGCGGGTGTGTGGGAGTTTTTCTATCAAAGCGCAGGAAACACGTGCGGGTAAAACATTTTTCAAGCTTTTAGCGCTGC